ACCTAACCTAACCTAACCTAACCTAACCTAAACTAACCTAACCTAACCTAACCTAACCTAACCTAACCTAACCTAACCTAACCTAACCTAACCTAACCTAACCTAACCTAACCTAACCTAACCTAACGTAAATATACCCCTACTTCTCCGTGTCCCGTGAGTAACTGTGTAAGCCAGTAGTTTGTTTCTCCGTGTTTGCGGTTCGCCCACGGCCTCAGATCCTTTATTAGCGTTTTCGTCCAGGAGGAGCGAGCTTCCCATTCTCTTTGCCAAGTTTCTAGGGTACCTCCTCTGTCTTTCCCTAACGCCCTTTCCTCCACCAGCAGCCTTAAAGGGATCAAGCTCGCCACCACCAAGAGGTCTTTCGTTGCGACCCAGAACCGCGTCGTATGCTGAATTCCACAAAAGCGGTCCCAGCACCGATCCCTGTGGCACTCCCCCGTTTATCTCGAAGGAGTACTCCTCCCCCGACGGTAGTCTTGCGGCTGCTTCTCTGTCCGTTAAATAACTAAAAATCAGTCTTCTATATATGTTGGGGACTCTCTTTTCTTGGAGGGCCTCCATAATCACTTGAACGGGCACAGTGTTGAAAGCATTTCGGACGTCCAGGGAGGTCACCACTGAGACGCGCAAAGCTTGGGCTCAACTATTGTATATTTTTTTGTCGTAATATCACATTCAGTGCTTGCGACAGGTCAAATTACAGCATAAATAAGTAGTATACAATAAAAGTACAAACGGACAAAGAAATTCATAAAAAAAACTAACAATATTAAAAATAAAAATACAAGTTAAAATCACAAATTAAAAACAATAGGTGTACTGAGGTATTCCTCTATGGAGTAGAAACAATAAGCTAAAAAATGATTTTTTATAAAATTTTTAACTTAACGAAAGGTAACTGCTTCACAGCCAGTGGTAGTACATTATACAAATCTATGCGGGGGCTATTATTTTTGGATTTGGGAAGTATGGAATCCTCAGATTTTTTGCGTTCCTAGTGTTGTAGCTGTGTGTAGTGTCATTAGTTGGGAATGTAGATAACTTTTTGTGAATTTCTAAAAGAGCAGTGTACATGAATATTGATGGCAGCGGCATAATTCGAAGTTGACGGAAATATCGCTGGCAGTGTGCTCTAAACTGGGCACCTACAATAACCCTTATCGCTTTCTTCTGCATAATAAAAGCTTTGTTCGATTTGGGAGCATTTCCCCACAAAGTTACTCCATACAGTAGATGAGAATGAAAAAGTGAGAAGTAGCAGGATATAAGGGTTTTAATAGATATTGCTACTATCTCTTCCAGCTTTTTCTTGAGGACTTTCTCTGCCACTTTCCCAGCGAAGTCCGTGAGGCAAATCGGTCTATGCCCTCCACTGGTCTTTGGCATCAGTACCAGCCTGCTTCGCTTCCATGTCTTGGGATATATTCCCGTTCTCATCGCCTCATTTATTATCGTGGTCCAGGCCTCCGTTATTGTCGTCGCCGCCTCCTTCACCCCCTACCCCGTCTGGTCCAGGCGCTTTGTCGTTGGGCAATGTTCTCGCCGCCTCCAATACTTCGGCGTCCGTGGCTACCCACGCCTCCTCGTCCGTTTCCGCCACCTCCTCGTCCTGTCTTAACTCGGTGTGGTTGGGGAATAGGCCGTTCACCGTCTCTACGAACGCATCGTCCGTCCATCCTACCTGGACCGTCCTCCTCCTCCTCACCTTCTGCGCGACAATCTGATATCCTTTTCCCCAGACGTCGTTGTCCAGGTCGTCGCATAGCAATCTCCAACATCTTCTTTTGCTGGTTTCTATCATTTCTCGCAGTACCCTACGTGCCTTCTGCCAGGCTTCCTTCTCCGGCACTGCCGGTCTCCCTGCCCTGACCGATCTCTGGTGTCTCCTCCGCTCCTCGTTACACCGCTTCCGCTGGAGAGCGATCTCCTCCCTCCACCAAAAAACGGCTCGCCTTCTGCCCGGCCGTCGTCTCGGCATCGCGTCGTCGCAAACCTTGCGAAGCAGCTGTGCGAGACTCTTATCGCTCCACGACCGGCCCCCTTCGTCTTTTTCTTGCAGGAGTGACTCCCTCAGCGCCTGTTGATTCAGTTTTCTAGGGTTCCACGCTGCCTCGTTGCTCGCCCGGGGTCTCTGCTCCGTCGTTCTCGTAGGATCGCTCAACTCCCATACAATATAGTTGTGGTCGCTGAGAGAATCAATCCCCAGCACCTCCCATCCGCTCACCTTGTTGATCATCTCATCCTCATCTGCTATCATCGTCACATCTATTATAGTCCCTTTGCCTCCAACCCCTGTCCAACTTTGTCCACAATCACTCCACCTGTCGCCATTATCCCTGCCGCACCTGTCACGTCCCTGAACACACGCATCCCCCTAGTGTCCGGACCTACCTCCGAGAGCACAAGTACCTCCGCCCCCACTTCACTTGCTACTTTCCCCGCCATGTCCAAGGCCACTCTACTATTATTAAGAGAACCTTAATCATTACGTGCGTAGTCTATTTGCCGTCCTTCCTCTTGTGCATCCTCACCTTCACGCGCAAGCGTCACCTCCTTCACTACGGGGTTTGGCGCCACCCCCACCCGTCCCTTGTCGTGCGGGCACCCCGTCGTATACGCCCTATGTCCCTTGCCAGTACCTGGCTCAACTCCCTCGCACACAAAACATTCGTTTTCACCCGCGCACTCCCTGGCCTGGTGTCCCGCCTTCCCGCACATAAAGCACATGCGGCGCCTATCCGCGCCCGTACACTTTGCCACTATGTGCCCTACTTCCCAACATCTTACGCATCGCGCCTGCTCCACCAGCACTCTCACCCTGCACGACGTCAGGCCAACCCTGAGGAAACCTGTTCTTGTGATCGCATCCGCCGTTGCCCGGTCGACGAAAACATACGCCACCATCTGCCCTCTCTCAGTTGCCACCATCGTCTTCATCCGGCACCTAGCCTTCGGCTCCACTCTCAGTATGGGCTCGAGCACTTCCTCCTTTGTAGTCACGGCATCTAAATCCCGTAGGCTAGCTTACAGTTCTCCTCCAGGAGCATTACTTCCCGGTCCGTAATGGCGGCCTTAATCGTATTCAGCACCGGCACAGCCTTTCCCACCCCTCTCTCTACCCTCAGGAGTATATCACCCGTCCGTGTCTTTGTTATGCCTTCTATCCTGGTGCTGACCCCCGTTATGTCTACCTTCCTGACCCGTCTCAGCACTTCCTCCATGCCGTTCTCACCCTTCAGCTTAATCAGCGCCGCCTCCGGTCTCGGTCTCCTTCTGACATTTGCCGCCGACGAGGTACCCTCGCTGTCGCTTTCTCGCGGTCTTAGCGGGGGGCGTGGGGACTCCCTTACGGGTTACCCCCTAAAACCCTTTCCTCTGCCTGGTATACCATGGCCGGGCATCACCTTTTCAGGCATTCTTCACTGCCATGGCCGGCCGGCGCCTAATAGTAGACGCCTACGGTGTTACCGCCGCTCTTGCTCCCGATCTCGGGCTTCTCTCTCCCTCGCCCTGTCGCTGTTCTGTACCAGCCTCGCCACGGCCTCCCACTTCTCGCGCTCTCTCAGCATGATCCTCACCACATTTGCCTCTTCCAATCGCTCCCCGATCGCTGTCTCTGCTGCCACTCTCTCTCTCTCTCCCAACGCACGCACCTCAAAACCGCGTGACGCGGCACGTCTATTTCCCCGCAGTCAACAGAGGCAACAAGCATCCAATACAGTTATAAGTGCGACATCGATGGTGTATGCTTCTACTTGGAGACTTGTCAGGAGTCATTCCCTATGTAGTCAAGTGGCCCAATAATTTTTTCCAAGACAATGTTAAATAAGAGTGTTGATAAGGGGCCGCCCTGACAGACACCCCTTTTTACTCTAAACCCCTTGTCCATTTACTAGACCACTGGTAAACTCTAATGTCATTTTATTTAAATTTATATGCTTCTGTGGTATTTCAATTTCTTTATTTCATTCTCGTTTGACTGTGGTCATAAGCACTCCCAAAGATAAAACAGGCGATCAAAAAAGAATTGACGTCGAGTCGCTGTTCAAGTTAACTATGTATAAACAAAAATTCCAAAGGTGACTCGACAGCAACTCCTTGTTGATTGCTAGTACATAATTATGCTAGTACTGTACGCATCTTACTTTGACTGTAGTAGAGCGTAAATGTGGCTAATACCTCCAGACCACATTCCTCTTTTTTAATAAGATATAAGAGCACAACTGTTTGTTAAAATTTAAACTTGACCAAATGGCATCAAATGAGGCATTGCGGCTAGTGTTTCAAGACCTGATGTCGAGACTTCGTCCCTTTCACATCGACGAAAAACACGTTGGTAGTAAAATTTTGATTTTATGAAAAATTATTAAACCTAGCAAACTGTGACGGATTGCCTACTAATCCTGTAATCATGCACCTTCTCCCATGGTTAACAAGTTGTTCCTGAACACCCATAAAAAACGGCTAAAAACGGATTTTCAGCTTTAAGCTCTCATTAACTGCTTCCTGCGAGAGAGTTGCACATTCCGCTTCTAAAATAAAAGTTTTTGTTACTCAGTTGTAAACGTTGATTAACAAGACAAAACGCAAACGGGTAAACGTCATCTTTAAACGCTACTGACTTGTAAAACTGACAGCTGACCTGTAAAAATTTTACAAGTTAGTAATCTAGTCATTTCATTGGCCAGAATTAATGCTAAGTCTCTGTCACATGGATAACATGATATTTTAGACATTTCTTCGAGATCAATTTAAGAACTAATAATTTACGTTTACTATTGTTTACAAATGAGTAACCAATAAAATATTGTACATTATACGCCAGGTAATAGTTTTTACTGGCTCTAGGAGATGACAGGCTCGCCTGTCAACTTCTCCTATCGCCAGTAAAAACTCACTTACCTGGCTAATAATGTAAAATACTATCAAAATGAAACAGTTTTTTTATAACCATTTACTTACAAAAATATGAACAAAATTCAATACAATGCTTATATAAATACAACTAAAAGAGCAATGCATCCACAACTTAAATTGCCACAGTAGGTATCCTAAAACTAAAAGCTGCCTTTTAACGCAGAGATAATACTGGATCACATAATCTAAACATAACTACTTTAGACATACAAAAAGTCCATAATAAATGATAAATACAAACTGGTATATATATTAAAGGTCCATCTCTTAATAGAAAAAATAAACCTATTTACATAATATACAATTTATTGCACTGAGGTAACATTTGGTAAATAATATATAACTGGAAACGATTGTCTTTGAATTAGGTATTTTTTCTTTCACGAGTTGATGCACATATGTTGGCGTGATTGCACCAATCGTCGGTCTGAAATACGTAAATTAGCAAAAGCCAACAGCTTTAGTGAAAGTAAAATACTATACCTGGCATTTCAAAGAGCAATAGATCGCTAGTCCGCAAAGACAAAGCAATGTCGCCCTTTTTGAACAAATACATATCCTCTCTACTTCTAGTAAGGTCGAATGTACAATCTGAAATTGAGAATCATTACCAAAAGGGAATCATTGTGTCGAGAGTTGTTTAAATTATGCCTAATCCATAACTGGTATCGCCAATATGAAGCGGATTTTGGTAATTGATTGCAATTCAGACCAGTAATTATCACAACTGAATTAAAATTATGCATAATACAAAGTGACTTAATGGCAAGGAGGGATCGTCATCGATGGGGCATTCGCTCATCTTTTATGAAATCTCCAAAGATAAAATCTCCAGTATAATAAGTAAGACTATAACCACAACAGTTCGTCTTACAAAACTGTTTAAGACGATAATCCCGGCTCGATAGAAACTGGGAGGACAATTCCAATAAACTAAAGCTGAATGGAATCTTTTCTGCAAAAAAAATAATGCCATTTTTTTTTGGAACTCTCAAGGAATTTTGCTGATTGATTATATGAATAAGGGTCGTACGATAACAGGACGATATTATGCAAACATGATGCATTGCCCTTGGAGATCCTATTAAAGTAAAGAGACGCGGAAAACTGTCACAAGGTGTCTTGGTGCTCCACGACAATGCACCAGTGCACAAGTTTAGACTTTCAAAAGCTGCTGTAGTTGATTGTGGCTTCGAAGAAATTGAACATCCACCTTATAGTATACCAGGATCACTTTTTAAGTTTTTTAAGAGTACATTCAATTAAATGAAAAACTTCGATTCTGTGTTTTATGTTTATTTGAACCCTTAGAATTTTATTGGTCAAGTCGAGAAGATGATATCGGTCAAATGGGCGCCGTCACAATTGATTGCTATATGGGCTCGTTTTATGGCATTTTTCATCACTTCAGCGATATTCTCGACAGAACGGGCACTCCGGGCCGGCCACTTTTGGCAGCGTCTCATGTGGTCCCATATTCCGCGTTCTTGGAGAGTGTATCGCTCCATGGCTTGTTCACCTTGTATTCTAAACCTGTCTAGTTCACAAATGTCAAAACAGATTTGACATTGGCCGCGATTTGCAAAAATAAGAGCATCTTCCAATAGGGTGATTTCTTTTGGCCCACCTAGTATTTTATCGAAAATTAGGCAATAAATCCACTTACCAAAATCGTATTAAGCCATGACTAGTAAGACAAAAAGCAGATTCAAAGGTCGAAATCAATATCAGATTATGACAACTAGCATTAATTTTTTTGTAAAATACGGTTCACTGAGGAAACAGTATTTTCGTACTTCCGAGACTAAAATGACAACTTCACTCCATTATGACAAGGACTGAAGTGTCACTTTTTGTCCCGCCGGGATTAAATTTGGACGAAAATCCCGGAAGGATGAAATTACTAACAAGGCAATTTCAGTAGGTTGTTCCACATTTTGTATGCGGCAGTACTTCTTAAACGCATCGTACTGCTGCTCATATAGTTTTTTGGATTTCGGTGGTATCAATTCTTTACCTACTTTGGCTACTTTTGATCAATATCAAATACACCTTTGTCACCCACCACCAAAATTATGACACTAGCAATGACAGTTTCCAAATTATTTTTGTTACCATAGCATAGGAATTGTCGTACCAACGCAACGTTCCTATGGTAACTTGTCAAGAAGCGATTTTTTGAAAGAACGCGTTCTTTAACTCCATACAGATTAAGTGTTTCAGTTTCGGAAGTACGAAAAATATCGTATATACCTTGCGACTGAAGTAGTGGTCTTAATCCCTCAGGTAAATTATGGCCCTCCCTTCGGTCGGGCCATAAGCTTTACCTTCGGGATTAAAAGTACTACTTCAGTCCCGCGGTATATAATGTACTATTACAGCGGAAATATTTACTCTAGTAGGTACGCGATATTTGTTTTCCGTGCATTTTAATGAGCGGCTCATTCCGTCTGTGTGAAAACCTATTTCAATTCTTTAGGAAATTTCCATGGCTTAACATGATTTTGTTAATTGGATTTATTGCCGAATTTTTGATAAAATAATGAGAAATAGCCGTACTATATCATCTCAACATACCAACTAGAAATTAAAATAAATCGATTGCTTTACCTTTTCGTTCCATCCTAGATGTCGGTACCCTGTAATCACCAAAGAAATTCGAAGATAACACAAAAGAAACTTAAAATATATTTTAACCCGCTTTGTAAAGCTTGGAATAAGCTCTGCGCCCCTATGCGATTAATGAGAAGCGCGAGTTAATGCATTTGATAGGAACGGAATGATTAATGGTGATAATTAATTTTTATCATATACATCAGCATCTGTTTAGGTCAACATATCAATGTTCACACATACAGAAATTTATACCTTAGTTGCACGACAAAAGGAAATTATCAAATGTTTTAGTAAGCAGTTAAAATCTTGATGGTTAGCCTCAGCAAGGCGTATTTCTCATTTGATTGCCCAAAGACGAGCATAATTCTTCCCTGTGATTGTGTTGCAATGAATTAAGTTTCGAATACTCAATCGATTATTTCGTCCGTCAAGAATTATTACTTTGTATTGTATGGTCGGTGTTTCTTGTGAGAACTCAGGTCTAGCCTGGTTAACTAATCGCACGGATTAAAATCAAGTAACGATTAGTGTCTGTGTCTGTACGTCGCTCGTTTGGTGAAGTATTGTCGGGTCCAACATAGCTATTATATTATTATTATTATTACAATTTGATAAACTTGCCGCATCCATTTCTTTGTCGCCCTAGGTTACTCAGTCTATGCCTAAATCCAACTGACACTGTAAATGGAAACAATGTGATACAAAACAGTAGGTAAGTTTGTGTTTCTGTCATCCATACTTAACCGGTTAAAAACAGTTATCCGGTTAACCGAATACTGGAGGTGATTTATGCTATTCGTGACCAGCACAAAAATTTATCATAATCGATTATTTGATTGTTTCATTAAAAACAAAATGATATTTTGCAAGATGTAGTTACCAACACAGTAATAAAGACAGCAGCGCAATCGAATAAGAACCAATCCAAAGTTGTGGAGGTTAAGGGTTAGGCGATTAATTGGCACGTGTGCACTCACCAAATTTTGCGCAGGTTCCTCCACCTTTACGTCTTCCTCGTCTGGGTCTGCATTAGGCATATCATAATCGTCCAGGTCGATAAAGTCGGACTGTTTCATTTTTTCCACGAACCAACGATCGACATCGATCACCTCGTCATCCTCAAAGGTAACCGTAATTGGTTCCACTACCGGTTTCACATCTTGCTCATTGTCTCGTGAATCGCTTGGGTTTGCCGTTTCCGCCGATGGAGAATTATTTGTTTTTATCACAGTTGGTTTGGTTGGAGTGGCTTCCTCTTTGATGGGCTGTACCACCGGCGCGCTTGGAGGTACTACGGCAGTGCTGATCGGACTGGCGCTTCGTTTTAGGACAGGTGCTGGAGTTTCGGTCGCTACGATTTCTGGTGTACTCGGAGGTGTAACGTGCGTGATTTGGACTTGGTTGTGAGGTACTAAAAGCGGTAGTCTAATTCGAAAATTGTCATTTATCAGAGGATTGGTATGAGAAGTTTGTGACACATTTGGATTGGCATTTGATGAATAAAATTCGGCGTTATGATTCAATGGATTTGTAGAGAGTCCGGGAAGTGGAGGTACAGTGTAAGTCTGTCCATTCTCTCCAATTGCGCGCCTTGGGAATCCGCTAGAAGATGAGTAATAATGCGATAATTCTCTTGGTTGCTGCTGCTGTCGGGTGCTCTCCAAAAGTTGACTATGTAATTCACAGTACTGCAATATCTGCAGGTTTAATAAATGTCTTTGCACCAGTGTGAAGCCATATTGTGGTTCTGGTGGGGGTAATTCTAAAACAAAAACATTTCAAACTTAGTGAACGCCAAATGCAATTGACTAATTCAGTAAACTAATTTTTATTGAAGACAAGAAACTCAAGTTTATGTACCTATCTATTCCCTAAAATTAATAAGCCCACGCAACGCTATAAAGTAGCGCGAGCGTGCGTTTTGTGTTACTCTGTGCCTCAGGGGATTAACGCACGAATCAATTCTACCACAAGTTACGGTCTACCCGTTTACCAAATTTAGCTTTATAGTGTTTTTGAGTTAATCGTGCCAACTGCCAAAGAGAAGTAGGTAAGGTCGTGAAGGTCAGACGTTCAAACTTTTTAATGTTATTTAAAAGTACTGGTTTATTGTCCCGATTTGTTTGTCATTTTAACAGAAGTAGTTAAAGATTTCATTATTTTCTTTAATTGTTGATCGAACGCTTATGCGGGGTGTGTAAACGGACCTTGTTGGTTCACTTTGATTGTTAGAATTTTATGATTAATTTGATTTTTGTGGTTAAAATAAATTTGGTTGGAGTAAATTCATGTAAATCGTGTGTTTATTCACTCTTTAATGATCCAGATAAATGTCTCATGCTTAATTATGATTCATTTTGTTGATCCGGTACCCAATAACACAATAGTTATTTATATAACAAGAGCGCATTGAGACTGAATTTGTATAGCAAGGCTGCGAAATGATTGTTTGGTGTACCAAGAGTGAAAAGTGAAGAGAATAAGTTTGGGCCGAGGCGTAAGCCGAGGCAAAAACTTCTCTCGATACACCAAATTCATTTCGCAGGGGCGGTGTACACCAAGGTTAGTATGTGTACACAACATTGTTTGTGCAATCGCAATATCTACATACCTATAAATCAAAATAAACAATGTTTGAAGATTTCAATTTTAATTTCTAAATACCTTCTGTCAATTACTTTAATTTTTTTTCTCACAGGTTTTTGTATTTAATTTTTTTTATCATGACGTGTCTTACACTAAATTTTTGTCATTTCTTCTTATTAATCAATTGTATTGTATTGTCGAAATGGTTTACTGATAATGTTTTGTTTCTAAATCAGAGTAAAACCAAAGTTGTACAATTTCATAACTACCAAAATAGAAATATTCTAGATACGAATATTTCTATTCCCGGTCTAGCTCTACAAAAATCCAACAACGTCAAGTTTCTTGGAATTATTTTTGATGACACACTGAGTTGGAAACAACAGAATGAACACTTAATAAAGATATTAAGCTCCTGTTGTTACCAAATTCGGTATCTTCGTTCTTATCTCGAATTGAGGCAACTAAAAACGTTCTATCACGCATGCGTTGAATCGTGACTAAGGTACGGGCTGTGTTTCTGGGGTTCCTCGTCCACAATGAAACACGCCTTTATAATACAAAAACGTATCATAAGATGCATGTTTAAAGCAAAACCTACACAGTCTTGCAGACCAATGTTCTCACACATACAAATTCTGCCTCTTCCGAGCTTGTATATGTTAGAAGTAAGTAAATATGTTTTCTGCAATAAAAAAGAGTTTCTGCAAAACTGCGATATACATAGACACAATACCCGGAAGAACACTGATCTAAGGATACCTATCGGCAAATCAAAACTTCATACAGACAGTCCTTATGTGACTGGAATAAAAATTTTTTAATAAACTTCCATACAATATTAAAAACGCTAAACACGTAAACATCCTCAAGCGCGAGCTTAATAGGTTTCTTTTACAAAATATATACTACAGCGTAGACGAATTTCTTAATGATTCTGGCACTCCTCCGAACTAACAATGATAATTTATTATTAGGTAAGAACATCGACGTTATCCTATACATGTAGATATAACGGGTGTCCCAAAATTAACGCAAGATTTGAATTTGCCGCCATTTGTGCGGTGAAGTGTTGGCAACCCTGAAAAAAAGGCAATTTGACAGCTAACAGTATAGGGTTATTAAAAATGGAGCGTTACACGATAGAACAACGTGTCTTCATTATTAAAGAATATTTCAAAAATAGTGAAAGCTTGGCGGCTGCAGTTAGAAAATTTCATACAAAATATGGTCGGAATAGTGTTTTAACTTCGTCAACTGTGAAGAGATTAATTGAAAAATTCATGGAGACTGGATCCGTTGGAGACGCCAAACACACTGGTCGTCCAAAAACAAGCCGTTCGAATGTGAACACTATTCCGACCATATTTTGTATGAAATTTTCGAACTGCAGCCGCCAAGCTTTCACTATTTTTGAAATATTCTTAAATAATGAAGACACGTTGTTCTATCGTGTAACGCTCCATTTTTAATAACCCTATACTGTTAGCTGTCAAATTGCTTTTTTTTCAGGGTTGCCAACACTTCACCGCACAAATGGCGGCAAATTCAAATCTTGCGTTAATTTTGGGACACCCTTTTTTAATAATAATAATAATAATAATAATAGTTTAATGCCCAACAGAAAACAAATTCCAATTACAGGACATTTAACAGATAATATAGAGGCGATACAAGTAGATATTACAAACAGTAGAACAATTGGTATAAAAAAAATTATAGAACTAAAATAATTAAAAAAAAATAAAAACCAAACCAAACAACTATAGTAAAAATAGCAATTAAAGATTAATCTCAGTGAATATACAAGTTAGTGTTGAATTAAATATGTCCACGGTTTTACAAAGGTTATGGTATGTTTTACACGAACTTAAAATTGGAGACATATATAAAACATTAGTACGTGGCGGAGAAAGGTGAAATGGTAAACTCAAACGGTAGTGATAAGATGGCACAAGAAAATTAATTTTAGACAGCAAATCGGGGGTATCTAGTTTATCGTGCACAATATTAAATAGGAAAGTTATACTACTTTTTATTCTTCTATCCTCTAAACTACTAACATGAAATAGGTTTAGTAAAGTTTCATGACAAAACCCTCTAGGAGGATAATGACCTTCAGTTTTGTAATATAAGAATTTTAAGAATCTCCTCTGAACATGCTCGATCAAATCAATATTTTTTTTTGATGACGCGAACCAGATTAGTGAGCAATACTCCAGCTTACTTCGAACAAGTGAAAAGAATAGTTCTTTAAGTGCAACCATATTATTGAAGGATTTACAATTCCTCAGTATAAAACCTAGAGTAGACATTGCTAAACGCGTTACTGTAGCAATGTGATGCGAAAATGTAAATTTGGAATCAAAGTAAACGCCTAGGTCTTTAACCAAATCGACCCTTGTTAACCGCAGGGAATGAACTACATAATTATATACAATAGGTTGATGTTTCTTAGCGTATGTAACTATTTTACATTTAGAAATATTTAAAAATAAACAATTAGTAGAACACCACCGCACAACACTGTTTAGTTGCTCCTGCAGAAATTGACAGTCACTGATCGAAGACACTTGAGTAAACAGTTTTAGGTCATCGGCAAATAGTAGTGCACCACACTTCAATAAAGCAGTTAAATCGTTAATATATAACAGAAATAAAAGAGGTCCCAGGGTAGATCCGTGAGGGACACCTGAAGTAACTATAACAGAATCAGACTTAAAATTATTGTACAGTACACGCTGGGATCTGTTGCTTAAATAAGATTTAAAAAGCTTCAGTAACCCTTCATTGAAACCAAAATTAAATAGCTTGGCAATAATGATGTCATGGGGAATGCTATCAAACGCCTTTTTGAAGTCGGTATATATGACGTCAACTTGTCCACGCTTGTCGATGGTTTCTGCAATAACATGCGACAAACATGCTAAGTTAGTGGTTGTAGATCTGTGTGCCATAAAACCATGCTGGTGGATGGATATAAGTCTTCTCACCTTCGAATAAATCCTAACATACAAGACATTCTCAAAAATTTTGGCGAAGTTGCTTAAAATGCTGATTGGTCTGTAGTTACTAACGTCGTTGGAGTCACCAGATTTAAATACAGGCGTAACGTTAGCATTTTTCCAGCTATCGGGAAATACATTAGTAGCCAATGCAAGATTAAATATACGTGTTAAAGGTTCAGCAAACACAGCTGCACAGTCTTTAATAAAAAAAGCTGGAATAAGATCAGGACCAGATGTGTTACCATTTTATGTCACAAGGATCAAATATATTATTACTGTACTGTATGTCAACTGGAATCTCCATTGGAGAATGTTCACTGTTTAATTTTACAAATTTCTTTTATGGCCCTTTGCACCGATACATTTCAGCCGAGCTTAGCTTAAAATCCATGGCAACCATTGTCTCAATAATCGTTGCCATGGATTTTAAGCTATGCTTAAGCTAAGCTCCACTTAAATGTGTTGGTGCAAACGGCCATTAATCTATTAATTAAGGCCCTCATAATTTCTTAAACTTATAAAAGTTTTGATGTCAATGTTAAGCTTTTTTTGTTTGTGTCGGAACCTAGTCATCTTCGAAAGAAATTTTACAAAGAGAGAAGAAAATAATGGTAAGTTTGGGTAGCTAGGTAGGTTGGGTGGTATTTTGACCCGTACCATTTCACACAGCTATAATTTTATTGGTTATGGTGGTGGAGACAGCGCTCGATTTAGAGGGAGTGGGGCAGTAGCACTGGCCCCCTGACATACGAAAAACCGAAGAGAGTAGTGGTAGTGGAGAGGGGAGGGTAGACATAACCAAAATTAACATTTTGTTCAAAATTAAACAAACGTTAAGAATCCTTCATTGCTTTGCCTCTAAAAGTTTCAAAATTTCTTTCTCGTTAAGCTGAACAGATAGAAACTGTTGCTTTCTTATTTTGTGAAAATTGTTCAAACATTAAAAAAATTTCACAAAACTGAATAACAAAACCACCCCAAAAATCATATTTACATCATTTAATTCTGCTGTAGGACTTTTGTCCAGATATCCTCAGATACTGAGTAAAAAGATTGTAAAGATTTTTCCAAAGTATAAGAATGAGAGACAGAGTATCATTATAATACAAATGTGGCTATTCATTGTCTTATTCCATCCTTACAAACTGAGGAACTTAATAATAACTAAAGCGCTGACTAAAGTATCATACTTACCAATTTCGCGAAGGGCTAGCACCGCATTTCCCAAACGATGAGTTGTCCGATCCTTCACGGGCGGTTTGACTACTAACGCAGTTGTGGGCGGAGGTTCAGTTGTGGTGAGATCAACGGTAGAAGTATTAATGGGGGGCGTGCAGTTTGGGGAGGACCGCATGGGAGGAGATGAAACACTGGCCGTAGAAGAAGGTACTATCACAGAAGTCGATGAAGCATTCACAGGCGAACAGGAAGATCTCGCGGCAGGACAGCAAGCATTGGCAACACTGACTGGAGTAGTTGTCACTTCAGCTTCTGAATTTGCCCTAACGTAGGGCGGTGGTGGCGAACGTGGAAATGTAGGAAAAATAAAATCATCCCTAATATTAAGCCACCTGACACTATTCTCATATTCTGATTCAACTTCAGAGCAGAACTTTAGAACAAATCCTTCCAAATGCTTTTCAATCTCTTTGATTTTTTGCACTACCGAGAATAGAAATTTGACCAGAGCAGGTAGTGTTATCCGCATTCCTCGTCTGCCACCATAATTGTAACATGATCTCAAAAATTCCTTATATGCGAAGTTATGTATCGTGCGCCTCCGCAGGAAATTTAACGTAAACCGAGCAAGCTCTTCCACTTCATTTTCGCGCGTTTGGTGAAAAGGTTTCAGCGCTAACTCAATTTTCACCGATTTGATTTTGTTGTAGCTGTTTGTTTGCTTAACGAGCATTTCGCAGTTTTTCACGTTGTAAAATATGCACTCCCAGAGTGTTTCACAAAATTCGATATATGTGATCGCTTGCACATTTGCCGCTTGTGTGGATGATCGCGTGGGGGAGACAAATGATGAAGGAACGTGCATGCTCGGTGGATTTCTTAATGGAGTTATTTTTCTATTACCACGGCCGCGACTGCGACCACGACCACGACCACGACCACGACCGGGCTTGCCAAGAAGCACGGGTTCGGGAGGTGATTGTACTTCTTCAGAACTACAGGCCATTACAACATCTGGGGGTTGCTGAAACTGTTCTTGGTGAAGTATATCGGGAACACAGACTAACTGCTCCGCGTCAATTGCATTGTTGCTAGGGCAATGCAACTGCATTAGATTATTAATCTCCTTTATACTTTCCATTTCGGTATCAGAATTGCAGTCCTGTCTCGCAATTACTGTATCCGAATACACAGCCATTTGAGTAACTATGGCAGTTTTCAACTCTATTTTAGTCTCGTTACGTTTCGCTACCTCTTCAACCAATTTATCCATACCTTCCACATTAAACTCAACAACAGTCTCAAATACATCGTCACAAGTTGAATCTTGCCCATGTTTTATGCTCATGTTTAACATATAATCATCGACTTTCTTCAACTTCCATGGCATACGATCCACGATTGACCGTTTACTTGATTTACTTCTGCTCAATCTTTTACTAGATTGACTGCTACTATCATCGTCACTGTCCGGGCCGAACAACTGAATAAATTTCGAGTTTCGCGACGGAGCTTTCTTGGACGATTTCGCGTAAGTCGGCGGCACGTATTCCTTCAATGGTATCATTACATTTTCGTCGGGAAGCTTCGGCAAATGTACGCGCAGCTCCATTAAATGTTCTTTCTTTTTGGTTGCGCCATTCCTGTCTTCACTTGGCGCGTGTTGTGTGCGCAAACCGCCGCTTGACGGTCTACGCCCGACGTCTCTGGGTTTTGTACTTTGTTTTGATGCGTGTACCTCTTTGGAGGCAACCAAGCTGATAGGTATTGACTTTCTGCGCGTCTGTATCTGTTTCTGTAAGGCTTCACTTGATGATTCAGAGTCTTCTTTCAAATGTTTGTGTGAGTCGACCACATCGATTGCTTGGCTGGTACTTCCATGGTCGTTCTCTTTCGTGATTTTGATCCGTGACTTTGTCGTGTGCTTCCGGTTAGCACGTTCAAAGTCTTCAACAGCGACGGTATTTCTACGCTTGACTATTCTAACAGGAGCAACTTTTTCCTTTCCCTGATCTGACGAAAGGGATTCATATTTGGCAACACTCGACACAAAAGCAAATTCGCCATGTCGATCGTAAATGGTAATTTGATCACACTCATCACTTGGCGGTTTATTAGACTTTTTTTGATTATGTTCCTTCAACTCGGATGCGTTTTGGTAGGAACCACAAATCACCCATTCTGCTGCAATCGTTTTTCGTCGTTTATGTATCTTGGAAGGTTTGTTTGGATGTTTGCTACCGTTATGGGAAGTTTTTTTATCCAAAAATACGTCGTTTGCATTAGATTCAGGCTCCTCAGTCATTTTGAGCCGTTTTACAGGTGGATCGGCAACTTTCTTGGCTTCTTCGTGTGTTGTACACGTTTTACGGCGATGGGATACTCGACACGGTGGTTTAGCAGAAAAACTTTTTTCTGTTAATTTTTTCACATTTTCACATGAACTGTGCGTGGTTGCCGTCGACTGCTTCTGCACATGCTCAGGCTTGTCAGAGCTTTTTTCATGTGCTAATATTCGCTCGCTCCCTTGGTTTACTACTTTTGCACTTGTCTGAGATGTAGATGTGATGTTATCCACGTCCATTAAAGATTGATCTAACTGCTCCATGGAGACGGAATTTGGAGCGACTATCGCGGTCGCACACGCTTGTGCACAATTTAAAGCCGTAGAATTGATATAATCAATAATCTGACTAAGCGATTCACTTTCGTCTGCATCGGAATCTTTAGCGGTTGTTTGGCCATCTTTCTGTTCATGAATGGAATCATTATCGGGCACTGATCCTGCGTTTTTGTCTAAATCATTGGGGGCGGGGTGCAATATTGGGTCGATTAACTGCTCACATTGTCCAACTGTATCATCTACGTCTCCACATATATCTATAATCACCTCCGTTTCTACTTCGAGTGAATCGTTAAAGAAACTCAAATCGTAGTCATGGTGTTCTTGATTCGATGAATGGTCTCCATTGTTGGGTGACTGGTCCACAGCCTCGCTCTCTACGATGGAGTCCTCATGCAATTGATGACCTCCACCGCTTGCATTATAATTCACACCATTTTCATTACTATATACAGGCTGTTCAGTCTCATTGATTGATGTCGAATTTCCCAAATTCACATTATCCGTTTGCTTAAGGGATGAACCTCCGTGGAAGTCATGCAAATAGGATCCATTCGTGTTAATTGTACTTAAATTAATAGTATTATATCGTTTAGTCGGTACTGGAGTATTGTGAGTATCAGTGATTGAACCAGCAATGGTATTGGCACTACCATTTATTACTTCCGATAAATTTAGCACTGGTTCCTCTAAATTGGGCAGATCCGTTTCCATTGTGACATGCACATTATTGGTATCATGTAGCGAATGCAGTCTTACAAGTAAATTATCGTCTAGTATATTGTTACAAGAATCTCTAGCTGGCGCGTTCGAATTTGAGCTACTACGTCTTTGTGCGGTGTTTGATGAGTATGGCGTATTCTGTCTTGGGCCGTATCCCGAAAAATTTGAACGATAATTGTTGGAATGTGCGCTGTTTCCCCTACTTCTACTGGAAGAGTTTCTATATAATTCAGGTCTTAATTGGTGGGTGCCGTAAGTCCACATGTAATTTTGGTAAGATGAGTTATTATGTGAATATGATCCATACGGGTTTCTGTTATAAAATGTACATTGTTGGTTGGGGTAACACCTGAAACAAAGTTTTATATTAGTAATCATTTGTTTCGTTCCACGTCTTGGATTTATTCTAAACGTACCGTATATTATTATTTTTATTATCATCATCCCCATCATCATCGTCGTAGTTTTCTCTCCAAACATCATCAAGATGATACCCCTTCCTATTGTACCACCGACAATAAGACTCTTTCCAACCCCTTGCTCGCCAATTTTGATCATTCCTGCGATTTAGTCTTAATCAAAGCAAATAAAGAACAATAACGAACTATACACTGCCTAACTTAAACATGCAGATATAAGCGCCCAGGCTTAACCGCAGCGGCAGATTGAAAAAAATTAGGCGTGTTCAGCAGAGCCGTCTTTCCCAACACAAAGTGACATGATAAAATCACTGTAAGTACCGAAGTAGGTAAACGGCAGTTTACTTCGCATTAGACTGGGTTCCTCATTATTGTTGTGTCAAAGCAATTATTTAAAGACACCAGATCATCGTAAAATAAACCATCGTTAATCTACTTCTTAAAACACCTATATTCTCTCTTAACCTAGGGCAACAGCGTATATGTACATCCCTATAGTGTACATCCCCTTACTTACCTTACATCAGACATTCGCCAATACTTTAACAAAGAGCGGCAAATGAGCAAGTCATGGAAATGAACACAAAAACAAAAAAATTAAACAGCAACATTAAACAAAAATACCTTTCTGGTTTTCTGTGCATATCGTCTTGAACTTCGTTTCTTCGATCGTCCATATTTGGCGAGATATTTGGTACCCTCCCCTGTAAATAGAAAGCGTAACTTTAATGAAGAAAAATTGCGTAATTTAGGTATATGTAAATAATGAAAAAATTGATAAAAGAACCCAAACACCTAAGCCTAAGCAAACTAAGTGGGATAATTGTATGATCTAGCTGCAAATGATTAGTTCGTGTCGAGAAGGGCAGTTTGTATAATTATTCTGATGCATGATGTAATAACTATATGCAAGGCGATGAATAAAAATAAACTCTTTCATTCCAAATAAAAAATGCTTACATTTTCTTTTTACACAACTTCCAGTCCCATTTATAAAAGTGCAATCATTGCCAAATGTAGTTACTGAGTAGTGAGAGGCAAAGAATGACACCTTTAATGAAGTGCAATGCATTTTTTTTTAAGCGGAATACCAATGTCAATATAAGTCATTTCCCTTTTGTTTGGAAACTTAAAATGCCTTGTAGTCTTCTTCAATGTTCAATGCGAAACAAGAGAAAAATCAGGGATTTAAATTTAAAAAATGAATGCATCTGCCGAGGCATCTGCTCAGTGAGCTTGTACACTTCTGGTGACCACGCGATTTTAAAGAATTAAAGAGTCAAAACAGTTTTTGCAATCGTCGAGTTCTAAATTTGCTTGATAGTTGATTTATACTTATACCTTATTATGACATTATGAACCACTTTATACTCCTAGGATGTTTTGACATGTACTTACATAAAAACTAAATTGACATAGTTTACATTGGGAATTATCGCCGATTGAAGCGCTCGCTTGTCACTTTTTACTTGTTTAAATTTTATATTTCTTTAACAAATGATCACCAATTAGAGTCGAAAGTATACTGTGTGTGTCAAAAGTGAGTTTCTGTCGAGTCACCTTTGGAACTTTTGTTTACATGGGAAATCGTATTTAACCTGCACTTCCAAAGGCGACTCGACAGCAACTCATTTTTTATCGCCCGTTACTAGAAATGTAGTAGGCGATAAATAAATGCGAGTAGTTTCGATTGTTAATATACAAAAAAACGTTTTGACAGATATAAATTGTCCATCGCTGCTGTTAGTTGTGACCAGTTAGTTTTGGAAATGCAACTGAATTTGTCGGTATATTATGCAAAAAAATCAAGAATTTTTTCGAAGAAACAGTTCGGAACTTTTTTATTTGAAGCGCAAGATGATTTGTATTTAGGATTAACGGTAATACGTAATTTTTTTCATTACTAGAGTCTGATGACATGATTATTAACCTTTTTTCCACTTGTAAAGTAGGCTTTCTCGGCATTTGTTCAAAGTGGTTAATAATTTTTTATTATTAACTAGTAGTCAATAATGAGAACTGTCACGCTGTCACTTTTAGAAAACACAACCCGAAATTTCGCTCAATAACCGTTTGGGCAAGTTCTCTAAAATGAATAATTGCCACCATCCGCCATTTCCAGAGAAATTACATACCTAAAATTATCACATTTTGAAAGAATTCGAACGAAATTACTCTTTGAAAATACCTCAATGACAGATCAAAATACGGCCTGTTTCACTTGTACTTCTACGTACTTGATTGACATGTTAAATTAAGAAACAAAAAATTCTGTCCAACCGTTCACTTTCTTATCAATATAATATGTTAATTTAGAGGATTTCAAGTGCTAGTAGTGAAAAAAATAGTATACAGTGAATATTTTTTAAATGCGAACATAGGAGTTTGCATGCAATGTAATTTCCCTATGTTCGATTTTTAAAAAAACAGATCAATCTATTGAGTAGTTCAAATGAGTAGTAGATACAATTGACAGCTGTCATATTTTTAAAAATATCGCTGTCCAATTTAATTTCGAAATCGATTAGGTGATTGCTTAGAATGTCAAGAAGGACACTTTGAACATTTATTTTAGTTGTTTTCGTTATTTATGTTCTTATTTTCTTCATTTATGTATTGAATAGATCAAATTAGTAGAATACCAGGTGCACGACCTACAAATAATTGAAGGTTGGTTCACAATGAATTGTGGTGACAGCGAGTGCCCTGTGAGGACAAGCTATCGTAAGTTTAAGAAAAATTTATCCTAAAGTTACTATGACCTCACATGGATTCTTTAAAAAAAATCTTATGGAGTGCTCTTCATCATGAAGACTATAGAAACCGTTGCTGTTCATAGTCACGCAAGTTGCGCGTTTTGATGGTGTTTTTTTTGTTTTTTTTGTTTTCCTCTTTCCTGATAGCGTTGGCTATTGTGCCCATCAATAGCTATGTTGGTAAGTATGAAATACATACTATCTCTAGATTTCCAATGTGAGGGTGTGAATTTTTATTTTATTTATTTATTTCTTTTATTTTTTTTTTAGGACCCTACATAACTTCACCAGACACAGACACTAATCGTTACTTGATTTTAATCCGTGCGATTAGTTAACCAGGCTAGACCTGAGTTCTCACAGGATACACCGACCATAATAATAATAAGACATTTATTATTATTATTTTAACGGCGAGAATAAATTAAAATAATAATAATAAATGTCTTTATTGATTAGCAGTTCTACATTTGCAATAAGTACTGCATATATCAATTAGGTGAAAGTTCAGATTTTTTTGGTAAAACCTAATCTGATATTCTACTTTAACTTTAATAACTTTATGAAAGGATCCAGTTAGGTACAGACAGAAACAACAACAACAACAAAATAAGGTCAGTAAAAAATAAAAACGATTTTGCAAAATCTCCGAAAGTAGTTGGAATTTTTTCAGTTTCAAAAGGACATTTTGTTAAGAATCAAAATACGCAACTTTGCCAAATTTAAACTATCTATCTATTACAGTTACCGAGATCCCCATGGTAGCCCTCGAATTTAAATCTGCCTGTATAGAGCACTTTATTAATGATTTATTTTTTCTATAACATTTATGGAAACGTCGAGGGAAAGCGAGGAGAAAGGTTTACTTTTATGACTGTGAAGGGTGACGCAATATTTTAGTTAATTTTGAGTCATACTGTTTGAACGTGACGTGAGAGCTGAATATTTCTTTATCGTAAGTAAAAATACATGAACAGTTACCCTTCAGATTCTCTATAAACCCAAATGTATGAATTGCAGGTAATTATATAAACATCAATAAAAAGTAAGCCACAATCTAAACCATAGCTTGTAAAAAGACTTAGAATTTCATGAGAATTCCAAATGAATTCAATAAAAATTACAAGTTAATTCCCAAAGATTTCCATGAATTCCAACAGAATTCCAAAAGAATTCTAAGAATTCCAAGAGGTTGTACACCAGAATTCCACAGTGGTTTGCCTCTCGCTCTCAAGTAGAATACTCTCGAGAATACTTCAATATGTGTGTCACTGAGTTATTTGATTTATTATTTATAAATATAAACATATTCTTTCACTTTCTGTCAAACGTAAACTTGTTTGTCCCTATTTGATTATTTGATGTTGTGTATGGTCATTGCTTAAAATGTTCAAACTCATATAGGTAGGATCCAAAAAATTCAAAACACATGCGTAGGTTGTGTACCTAAGTAATGTAAATAGCTCGGTAATTAGGCAAGAACGTATCACACCCCATTTCAAGCAATTTAACGTAGGCGGTACACATTTTTTCGCTGCATTTTGTGACAAAAGCATGAAACTCGGTACACGTGTTCATTAGGTCCAAATAAAACTTTTGACCCGCAGCACCCACCGAAATTTTCGTGTGGGTTCAAAATTTTTACACTTTTGTTTAAAAGGGTGTTCAAGATTTTAAACCTGTAAAAATTGACGAATTTCGGCATTCTAGGGGCCGTTTTTGAATTATTTAGGGTCGCTGGTGACAATGGCGGCATGAAAAAAGTTGTATATCTGACCCTTAGGCCCCAAACTTGGAGTATTTTCAAAATAATGGTTAAATTTTGAATTTGATAGGTTTAACCCTGCGTGATGTTTCGGATGACGATTCCAGCTAATTTGGACATGCACTACTAGCTAGAAATATTATATTGAAGTTAAAACAGTTTCTGGTGTGTAAATAGGCCGTTAATCGTTCAATAATTTATTCAAAATTTGGAAATTCCATACTTGATGGATTTTGGCGTTCTTGGTGTCGTTTCCATATAATTTGTGGTTGCTGATGCTGATTTTGTATTCATAAAACAGATGCGACTCATAGTTAGGCCCTTTTCATACTATTTTACCTATTAAGAGAGAATGTTCGGTGCAGTCATATACCCTTGTTGCCCCGGATTGCAACGCAACTATTGAATGACAAAGAAAGACGAAAGAAACGGGCATTTCATTAAGATTCGGAAGTGGACATGTTCTCTGACGGGATATGCCGCCTATGCTTCCATTAATGCCCTCCCGTCATCGTTTGTTGGGAAATCTGTACTTCCAGTCAGTCTTGAGCTCACTCCACGACAAGTAACATCACGCAGCGAGCAAGTTCCGTCCGACTCGTGCTCCTTGAAGAAAGAGTGTCGCCAGCTGATGGCCCAGAGATGGGCAAGTTGACATATGAAGGATAAAAAATTATTAACTGTAGGTATAGTGCAGAGCACATAAACTTTTCCTGTTTTACTGTCTTACCTCTACAACCACAATAATTTTGTAATAAGGAATTATCGGTCAAGAAAGCCAAGACACTTTGGTTGCTTTGCATTTTGCTACTTTTTTTAATCTCTAGACGGGGGCAGCTTTCTCTGCCCCCTCTGGCGCCGCCCTTTCTTTGAAGTGAGGATATCGCAACGATACCGTGAAACGCCATCGATCGCGACGCAGTGCCTAGGCGTTCCCAGAAGTCGCCGAGGCATCCCCCAAAGTCCATCAGACGGCGGGCGATACGATTAGGCCGCGAGTCACAGGCGTTTTAGGCCCTGTACGTCGCTGTAGGAACTCTAAGCGCATATTAAGAGACCGTTACTACCATGACCTGACCAGCCAGGAGCTGGTTCTGACCGCCAGTCTTCGAATGCCTCTTCAGGTACATCAATAGCACTGGTAGAAGATTGAACTTTTAGTAAAAGTTGATCCAATTTAGCC